TTGAGGCTAGGAATAATATGCTAGTTGAAGGTTCTTGAGGCTAGGAATATGCTGAGGGTTCTTGAGGCTAGGAATAATATGCTAGTTGAAGGTTCTTGAGGCTAGGAATAATATGCTAGTTGAAGGTTCTTGAGGCTAGGAATATTCTAGCTGAGGGTTCTTGAGACTAGAATATGCTAGTTGAAGGTTCTTGAGGCTAGGAATAATATGCTAGCTGAGGGTTCTTGAGACTAGAATATGCTAGTTGAAGATTCTTGAGGCTAGGAATATGCTAGCTGAGGGTTCCTGAGGCTAGGAATAATATGCTAGTTGAAGGTTCTTGAGGCTAGGAATATGCTAGTTGAAGGTTCTTGAGGCTAGGAATAATATGCCAGCTGAGGGTTCTTGAGGCTAGGAATAATATGCTAGCTGAAGGTTTTTGAGGCTAGGAATATGCTAGTTGAAGGTTCTTGAGGCTAGGAATATGCTAGTTGAAGGTTCTTGAGACTAGGAATATGCTAGCTGAGGGTTCTTGAGGCTAGGAATAATATGCTAGTTGAAGGTTCTTGAGGCTAGGAATATGCTAGTTGAAGGTTCAAATGGGGTAGGAATATGCTAGCTGAGGGTTCTTGAGACTAGGAATAATATGCTAGTTGAAGGTTCTTGAGACTAGGAATAATATGCTAGTTGAAGGTTCTTGAGGCTAGGAAAAATGCAAAGCTGAGGGTTTTTTGGGCGGGAATATGCAAAGCTGAGGGTTCTTGAGGCTAGAAATATGCTAGCTGAACGTTCTTGAGGCTAGAATATGCTAGCGGGGGTTTTCTTGAGGCTAGGAATATGCTAGCTGAGGGTTCTTGAGGCTAGGAATATGCTAGCTGAAGGTTCTTGAGGCTAGGAATATGCTAGCTGAGGGTTCTTGAGGCTAGGAATAGCTAGCTGGGGGTTTTCTTGAGGCTAGGAATATGCTAGCTGAGGGATCTTGAGGCTAGGAATATGCTAGCTGAAGGTTCTTGAGGCTAGGAATATGCTAGCTGAGGGTTCTTGAGGCTATGAATATGCTAGCTGAGGGTTCTTGAGGCTAGGAATATGCTAGCTGAGGGTTTCTTGAGGCAAGGAATATGTTTAGCTGGGGGTTTTCTTAAAGGCTAGAATATGCTAGCTGAGGGTTCTTGAGGCTAGGAATATGCTAGCTGAAGGTTCTTGAGGCTAGGAATATGCTAGCTGAGGGTTCTTGAGGCTAGGAATATGCTAGCTGAGGGTTCTTGAGGCTAGGAATATGCTAGCTGAGGGATCTTGAGCTGGGAATATGCTAGCTAAAGGTTCTTGAGGCTAGGAATATGCTAGCTGAGGGTTCTTGAGGCTTTTGAATATGCTAGCTGAGGGTTCTTGAGGCTAGGAAATATGCTAGCTGAGGGTTTCTTGAGGCAAGGAATATGCTAGCTGAGGGTTTTTTGAGGCTAGGAATATGCTAGCTGAGTGTTCTTGGGGCTAGGTATATCCCTAGCTGAGGGTTCTTGAGCTAGGAATATGCTAGCTGAGGGTTCTTGAGGCTAGGAATATGCTAGCTGAAGGTTCTTGAGGCTAGGAATATGCTGAGGGTTCTTGAGGCTAGGAATATGCTAGCTGAGGGTTCTTGAGCTGGGAATATGCTACTAAGGGTTCTTGAGGCTAGGAATATGCTAGCTGAGGGTTCTTGAGGCTAGGAAATGCTAGCTAAAGGTTTCTTGAGGTAGGAATATGCTAACTGAGGGTTCTTGAGGCTGGGAATATGCTGAGGTTCTTGAGGCATAGGAATATGCTGCTGAGGGTTCTTGAGGCTAGGAATATGCTAGCTGAGGGTTCTTGAGGCTAGGAATATGCTAGCTGAGGGTTCTTGAGGCTAGGAATATGCTAGCTGAGGGTTCTTGAGGCTATAATATGCTAGCTTAGGGTTCTTGAGGCTAGGAATATGCTAACTGAGGGTTCTTGAGGCTAGGAATATGCTAGCTGAGGGTTCTTGAGGCTAGGAATATGCTAGCTAAAGGTTCTTGAGGCTAGGAATATGCTAACTGAGGGTTCTGAGGCAGGAATAGCTAGCTGAGGTTCTTGAGGCTAGGAATATGCTGAGGGTTCTTGAGGCTAGGAATATGCTAGCTGGGGGTTCTTGAGGCTAGGAATATGCTAGCTGAGGGTTCTTGAGGCTAGGAATATGCTAGCTGAGGGTTCTTGAGGCTATAATATGCTAGCTTAGGGTTCTTGAGGCTAGGAATATGCTAACTGAGGGTTCTTGAGGCTAGGAATATGCTAGCTGAGGGTTCTTGAGGCTAGGAATATGCTAGCTGAAGGTTCTTGAGGCTGGGAAAATATGCTGGGGGTTCTTGAGGCTAGGAAAATCTAGCTGGGGGTTCTTGAGGCTAGGAATATGCTAGCTGAGGGTTCTTGAGGCTAGGAATATGCTAGCTGAGGGTTCTTGAGGCTAGGAATATGCTAGCTGAAGGTTCTTGAGGCTAGGAATATGCTGAGGGTTCTTGAGGCTAGGAATATGCTAGCTGAGGGTTCTTGAGGCTAGGAATATGCTAGCTGAGGGTTCTTGAGGCTAGGAATATGCTAGCTGAGGGTTCTTGAGGCTAGGAATATGCTAGCTGAAGGGTTCTTGAGGCTAGGAATATGCTGAGGGTTCTTGAGGCTAGGAATATGCTAGCTGAGGGTTCTTGAGGCTAGGAATATGCTAGCTGAGGGTTCTTGAGGCTAGGAATATGCTAACTGAGGGTTCTTGAGGCTAGGAATATGCTAGCTGAGGGTTCTTGAGGCTAGGAATATGCTAGCTAAAGGGTTCTTGAGGCTAGGAAAAATGCTGAGGTTCTTGGGGCTAGGAATAAGCAAGCTGGGGGTTTCTTGAGGCTAGGAATATGCTAGCTGAGGGTTCTTGAGGCTAGGAATATGCTAGCTGAGGGTTCTTGAGGCTAGTAATTGGATCTACCCATTCCTTACATACATACAATTGATGTTTACCTGGAGTTTACCTGGAGAGAGTTCCAGGGGTCAACGCCCCTGCGGCCCGGTCTGTGACCAGGCCTCCTGGTGGATCAGAGCCTGATCAACCAGGCTGTTGCTGCTGGCTGCACGCAAACCAACGTACGAGCCACAGCCCGGCTGGTCAGGAACCGACTTTAGGTGCTTGTCCAGTGCCAGCTTGTAATAATAACACTGGATTTTCTTCATAGTCTGTAATTTTAATTAATAAGTGTGAGGCTCTTTGTATCCTGTTCTTTATTAACAGTTTTTGGCGTTAAGATAAGATAAGATAAGATTTCGTTCGGATTTTTAACCCCGGAGGGTTAGCCACCCAGGATAACCCAAGAAAGTCAGTGCGTCATCGAGGACTGTCTAACTTATTTCCATTGGGGTCCTTAATCTTGTCCCCCAGGATGCGACCCACACCAGTCGACTAACACCCAGGTACTTATTTGCTGCTAGGTGAACAGGACAATAGGTGTAAGGAAACGTGTCGAAATGTTTCCACCCGCCGGGAATCGAACCCGGGCCCTCCGTGTGTGAAGCGGGAGCTTTAGCCACCAGGCCACCGGGCCATCGGGCCACCGGGCCACCAGGCCACCGGACCTGTTTATCTTTTGTTTAAAGAGAAATAGGTACTGTATATTGATGTTCATCATTTTCATTTTACTATTATAAATTTTATTCCTTGTGTTCATATATATTTATTAAGTTTATTTAGGCACAGGTACACATAAACACAATTATCATACATAATGTAAATTACGTAGCATAACTATTATTACAGTACAAGTGTTTTCTGAACTTAACCCAAAATGCATTTGCATACTAGTGGGTTTTTTTTGTGCCAGACAATGTTTTATTACATGTAAACTGCAGTGTCTTGTATAGCAAAGGAGAAACAAAAATTTGGATCTGAAAGGGGTGGGAGGTGGCCATTTTGATGTGGGTGAAGGGCTTTTGATGCAAGGACTCGAAGCTACCCTTCATACCTTGGGTTCAACTCAAATACCTCATATTCCAAGGTGATGTATGATCCCTTTGGGTTTAGTGCTTTCCCCATAAATATAATATTAGTAGTGCTAAACTAAGTTAGGGGAGTAAAGAGAGCCTTCCTGGCTAGTGTTTCTGTGAGGGAATTAAAACCACTTTAAAACATTAATTGATCTTACCTAGATTCTTCATATGTAAATATATTGAACAGTAAATGTAATATAATTGTATGTGATTCATGCTTGCATGCAAGCATAAAATATTTTAGTTGTGTAAGCACTGCAGGTTCATGCTAGGTCAGGGCTGTGCTGTATCAGGTTCATGCTAGGTTAGGGCTGTGCTGTATCAGGTTCATGCTAGGTCAGGGCTGTGCTGTATCAGGTTCATGCTAGGTCAGGGCTGTGCTGTATCAGGTTCATGCTAGGTCAGGGCTGTGCTGTATCAGGTTCATGCTAGGTCAGGGCTGTGCTGTATCAGGTTCATGCTTTGGTCAGGGCTGTGCTGTATCAGGTTCATGCTAGGTCAGGGCTGTGCTGTATCAGGTTCATGCTAGGTCAGGGCTGGGGTGTATCAGGGTTCATGCTAGGTCAGGGCTGTGCTGTATCAGGTTCATGCTAGGTCAGGGCTGTGCTGTATCAGGTTCATGCTAGGTTAGGACCATGCTATATCAGGTCTATGCTGGGTCAAAGCCAAGCTGGACCAGGTCCATGCTAGGCCAGGTCCATGCTAGACATGTCCATGCTAAGTCAGGGCTGTGCTAGATTAAATCCATCATATCATGTAATCCTTAAGCATATCATTAGAGAAAAAAAAATTTACTCTTACACATGTATGGTTTTAGGTCTCAGAAGATAATTGTTTAAACACACAAAAGCACTCTGGTTTTGGGTATAACGCATATAGTATATTAATGCCCTGTCCCATCAGTGCAAAAACACTAGATTTGTTGCTTACAGAATATTTTGAACCTACGGTACTGAGAACGAAGAAAGCATGAGTGTCTGAGAGGTTAGTGTGGATGAATTCTGCCGCAGGTAGAGATGCTTCAAGACGTTTACCTGACCTACGCCACCCGGCAGGCAGACACACTGCAGAAGCTGTCGCAGGATGTGGAAATGTTTGCCTCCAAGCACAACAACCTGGTGATGCGATCCCGGGACCATGCAAACCACCTCAACATCAATGCCCAGAACTTTGTCAGGGTGAGCACATTCACAGTCTCCCAAATTAAGAGACATTCTTCCTCTCACCCACTGCCCCCCCCCTTGCCTTATGAATACCTGTACAGTATATGAAATGTAGGTATCAACCAAATTCTATTAAATTTGGCATTCATTTACTGCAATATATAAACTTCATTGGTTTGTGCCTCTCTGTGGCTCTGTTGTTGGAGCATTAATGACTTTTTTTTGTAACACGCCCGCCGTTTTCCACCAAGGCAGGGTGACCCAGAAAGAAAGAAAAAAACTTATATCATCCTTCAACACTTTTACCATCACTCATACATAACCATTGTCTTTGCAGAGGCACTCAGATATGACAGTTTAGATGTCCCTCCAAACTGCCAATATCCTAGACCCCTCCTTTAAAGTTCTGGCATTGTACTTCCCATTTCCAGAGCTCAAGTCCAACTAATCAGTTTCCCTCAATCCCTTCACAAAATGTTACCCTGCTCACAGTCCAACAGCTTGTCAGATCCCAAAAACTATTCGTCTCCATTCCTCCTATCTAATATGCGCATGCACGCTTGCTGGAAGTCCAAGCCCCTCGTCCACTAAACCTCCTTTACCCCCTCCCTCCAACCTTTTCAGGGACGACCCCTACCCCGCCTTCCTTCCCCAGCAGATTCATATGCTCTCCAAGTCATTTTACTTTGTTCCATTCTCTCTAAATGACCAAACCACCTCGACAGCCCCTCTTCAGCCCTCTGACTAATATTTTTAGTAACTCCACACCTACTCCTAATTTCCACACTATGAATTCTCTGCATAATACCACACATTGCCCATAGACACAACATCTCCACTGCCTAAAGCTGCCTCCTCACTGCAGCATTTACAACCTATGCTTCACACCCATATAAGAGTGTTGGTACCACTATACTCTCGTACATTACCTTATTACCTTCTTTGCCTCCATGGATAACGTTCTTTTTCTCCACAGATATCTTAACACACTACTCACCTTTTTTCCTTCATCAATTCTATGGTTTACCTCATCCTTCATAAACCCATCTGCTGACAAAACTCCCAAATATCTGAAAACATTCACTTCTTCCATACTCCCTCCCTCCAATGTGATATCCAATTTTTCTATATCTAAATCATTTGATACCTTCATCACCTTACTCTTATCTATATTCACTTTCAACTTTCTACCTTTACACTCTCTCCCAAACTCGTCCACTAACCTTTGCACTTCTCTTGAAAATCCTCCAAAAGCACAGTATCATCAGCAAAAAGTAGCTGTGTGAACTTCTGTTTTGTATTTGATTCCTCATTAGTGAGGATACATTACCAAAAACAACTGGTGAGAGCCCCATTGTTAGTGCTAGTGAGGATAGGAGACAGGTAAACATACACCAACAGGGAATAGTCACAGAAACCCAAGGCAAATGGAAACCAAACCTGTGCACATACTATGCACTTGGTATCTGTAGGCATGGGAAATCTGGAAAAACAGATGGGACGTGCAACTTTGACCACCCTAGAAAATACTGTGCCCATATGGCAACAGGAAAATGCAAACTCCCTTCCTGTAAGCTTTTTCACTTTGAAATGTATCCCTCTTCAGTACAGGAAAGACTGTGCTATAACTTAAATTGCCAGGCACACCATCTAAAGGGGACAAAAAGATACAAAACATCCAGACCATGGGAAAACCTGGGTAGCCACAGCCACTCAAGAGGGAGAGGTTTTTTAGTGCCAGGAAGGAAAAAGAACTGGCAGGAAATGGCAGAAATCGTACACCAAATCCAGTCATTCCTGGAGTGGAACCACAGTCGATGGCCTCCACTCCAAACCAACAGATACAGATACTAATGCTGGAAAAAAGAGTCCCCCCCAGTACCACCAATACCACCATCCGATGACATTCTTCTTTGCAAATATACAGGGTCTAAAGCCAGCAACGAACAACAAAATACCTTTCATTCGTTGACTGCTTGCATAGGCAAATGCAGTGTTCGCGGCTTTCACAGAGACCCACATAAAGGATCACTTGGACAACGAAATATGGATCCCAGGTTACAACCTATACAGATGTGACAGAGTGAACAGGCAAAACGGGGGGTTGGCCTGTATATCGCAGAGTAACTTGTTTGCACAGAACTGTTTAATGCCTCAAATGATGTAGTGGAAGTTTTAGCAGTAAAGATCGAGAACCAGAACCTAGTCATTGTGGTAGTCTACAAGCATCCGGATGCAACGTCCCAGCAATTCCAGGAACAGCTGTTAAAAATAGACCACTGTCTGGAAAATCTGCCAGCTCCTGCCCCCAACATCTTGCTCCTGGGGGATTTCAACTTAAGGCACCTAAAATGAAGAAATATAGCAAATAATGTTCTTGCAGTGATAACACCAGGAGGCAGCTTTGACGAAAACTCACACACACACACACACACATGAGCTTTTAAATCTCTACACAAAATTCAACTTAAACCAGCAAATAATAGAGCCTACTAGACTGGAGAATACACTAGACCTCATCTTCACTAACAATGATGATCTGATACGAAATGTCACCATATCAAAAACAATATACTCAGATCACAACATAATCGAGGTTCAGACATGTATGTGCGGAGCCCCAGACCGACATAATGAGATTAGTCACAAGGGAGCCTTCACGAAATTCAGCTTCACTAACAAGAGCATAAAGTGGGACCAAGTAAACCAAGTCCTAACCGATATAAGCTGGTAAGATAGACTAAGCAACACAGACCCCAACTTATGCCTAGAACAGATTAACTCGATGGCACTCGATGTATGCTCAAGGCTTATTCCTTTAAGAAAAAGGAGGAGTAGATGTAAAATAGAAAGAGACAGACGCTCCCTTTACAGGCGACGAAAAAGAATAACAGAGCGGCTAAAAGAGGCCAATATATCTGAAATGCGTAGGGAGTCACTGCTCAGAGAAATAGCAAACATCGAACTTAAGCTAAAGGAATCTTGTGATGAATCGCGGGAAGAACTAAAAGCCATAAATGAAATCGAAAGAAACCCAAAGTATTTCTTTTCCTATGCCAAATCAAAGTTGAGAACAACGTCCAGCATTGGGCCCCTACTTAAACAAGATGGGTCCTACACAGATGACAGCAAGGAAATGAGTGAGCTACTCAAGTCCCAATATGACTCAGTTTTTAGCAAGCCGCTAACCAGACTGAGAGTCGAAGATCAAAATGAATTTTTTATGAGAGAGCCACAGAATTTGGTTAACACAAGCCTATCTGATGTTATCCTGACACCAAATGACTTCGAACAGGCGATAAATAACATGCCCATGCACTCTGCCCCAGGGCCAGACTCATGGAACTCAGTGTTCATCAAGAACTGCAAGAAGCCCCTATCACGAGCCTTTTCCATCCTATGGAGAGGGAGCATGGACACGGGGGTCGTCCCACAGTTACTAAAAACAACAGACATAGCCCCACTCCACAAAGGGGGCAGTAAAGCAACAGCAAAGAACTACAGACCGATAGCACTAACATCCCATATCATAAAAATCTTTGAAAGGGTCCTAAGAAGCAAGATCACCACCCATCTAGAAACCCATCAGTTACACAACCCAGGGCAACATGGGTTTAGAACAGGTCGCTCCTGTCTGTCTCGATTATTGGATCACTACAACAAGGTCCTAGATGCACTAGAAGACAAAAAGAATGCAGATGTAATATATACAGGCTTTGCAAAAGCCTTCGACAAGTGTGACCATGGCGTAATAGCTCACAAAATGCATGCTAAAGGAATAACAGGAAAAGTTGGTAGAGAGATCTATAATTTCCTCACAAACAAAACACAAAGAGTAGTAGTCAACAGAGTAAAGTCCGAGGCGGCTACGGTGAAAAGCTCTGTTCCACAAGGCACAGTACTCGCTCCCATCTTGTTTCTCCTCCTCATATCTGACATAAACAAGGATGTCAGCCACAGCACCTTGTCTTCCTTTGCAGATGACACCCGAATCTGCATGACAGTGTCTTCCATTGCAGACACTGCAAGGCTCCAGGTGGACATCAACTAAATCTTTCAGTGGGCTGCAGAAAACAATATGAAGTTCAACGATGAGAAATTTCAATTACTCTGATATGGTAAACATGAGGAAATTAAAACTTCATCAGAGTACAAAACAAATTCCGGCCACAAAATAGAGCGAAAAACCAACATCAAAGACCTGGGAGTGATCATGTCGGAGGATCTCACCTTCAAGGACCATAACAATGTATCAATCACAGCTGCTAGAAAAATGACAGGATGGATAATGAGAACCTTCAAAACTAGGGATGCCAAGACCATGATGACACTCTTCAGGTCGCTTGTTCTATCTAGGCTGGAATGTTGCTACACACTAACAGCACCTTTCAAGGCAGGTGAAATTGCTGACCTAGAAAATGTACAGAGAACCTTCACAGCATGCATAACTCGGTACTAGGGACTAGTACCGAACTTGCACACGAAAATCACTCACAACAAAAGCAAAAGACTTGGCAGATGATGCAACATCCCCCCTATGAAAAGCAGGGGTGTCACTAGCACGTTAAGAGACAATACAATAAGTGTCAGGGGCCCAAGACTGTTCAACTGCCTCCCAGCATACATAGACCCCTGGCTGTCTTCAAGCTGGCACTGGACAAGCACCTAAAGTCGGTACCTGACCAGCCGGGCTGTGGCTCGTATGTTGGATTGCGTGCAGCCAGCAGTAACAGCCTGGTTGATCAGACTCTGATCCACCAGGAGGCCTGGTCACAGACTGGGCCATAGGGGCGTTGACCCCCGGAACTCTGTCCAGGTAAACTCTTAATTTAATCTCACCCCTCTCTCCAACATCCTAGCATTTACTTCTTTTCCAACCCCATATATAAATACTTATGTTAAACAACCATGGTGACATTACACATACCATTCTAAGACCTACTTTTACTGGGAAGTAGTCTCCCTCTCTCCTACACACCCTAACCTGGGCCCCACTAGGCTCTTTACAGCATTTAGTAACTTACTACCTATTCCATATATAAGTATTTGCAACATCTGCCACATTGCTCCCCTATCCACTCTATCATATACCTTTTCTAAATCCATAAATGCAATGAAAACTTCCCTACCTTTATCTAAATACTGTTCACATATATGCTTCAATGTAAACACCTGATCTACACATCCCCTATCTTCTAAAGCCTTCTTGCTCATCTACAATCCTGCTTTCTGTTTTACCTTGAATTCTTTCAATAATAACCCTACCATACACTTTACCTGGTATACTCAGTAAACTTCTTTCTTTCAACAAACTGGCCATATCCCACTGAAGCAGGGTGACCCAAAAAGAAAAACAAAAGTTTCTCTTTTTAACGTTAGTAATTTATACAGGAGAAGGGGTTACTAGCCCCTTGCTCCCAGCATTTTAGTCGCCTCACATGACACACATGGGTTAGAGAAAGAATTCTTTTCCACTTCCCTATTGAGATAGGAGGAAATACAGAATAAGAACTGAACTTAACGACAGAGCTCCATTCTTAAGACCTCATTGGTAAACGAATTCATGGCTAAGTGAGGAGCATACTACAGTATAATGGTAGTGGGTTTGTGTCAACCATCTTTGATATTGTTTTAATGTCACCTTTCTACTATTTATAACATTTTTAATATATTTTTAAATGTTTATACAGTAGTGTACTGTATATTGTAATAAACAGAATACAGAAATTCAGCTCTAATATACACTACTTAGGTATGCATACTGGACAGAGAGCCTGTTGTAAGTCCGAGTCTTCAGTAAATGAGTGCGTCGCTAAGTGAGGAGAGGCAGTATGTGTGTACATACATGTGTAGTCTGACCTAAGTGTAAGTAGAAGTACCAAGATATACAGTAGTACCTTGCTGGATGGTTGCTGTCTACCATCCTAGTACCTAGGATTGTTAGTAATGTGCTGGATTAATTTTGAGCTGAGACCGTTATTATTACATTTGCATATACAATGGAACCTCAAATATCAAACTTTCTTCGTTCCAGACTGCTGTTCGAGTGCCGTTACCGAATGAATTTATTCCCATCAGGAATAATGTAAATTAGATTAGCTCGTTTCAGATCCTCAAAAATACACTTATAAAAGCACTTACAAAAATACACTTACATAATTGGTTGAGTTGGGAGCAGTTCGATATTTTTGGTTCCATTGTACATGTATAATTATTCAGGTTCTGATTTTGTTCATTATACTTTAATATCAGCTTGATTGATTTTGCACTATATTAAGTACTTCTTGTTGTAGTACCAGGAAATGTATTTCTTTTTTTCTTTCAAGCAGTCAAAGATTTAAATATTTATTTATTCGGAAGTGATTTTTGTGGGATTTTAAATTTTTGCTTCATAGACCTTTTAACAGTTTTGGGACTTGTCAAGGGAAGTTTTACAATGCTGGTTTTTTTGCTTCTTTATCATCAACATATGTGTAGTGCTTTAACCAGTAAACGGTCCAAACGTGTATATACGTGTTTTCAACATTTGAAAGTATGAAAAAAAACAGTAGATCTTCTTTTTGTTTTTTTTACATTTGAAAATGTGTAAAAAAACTTTGATCTTTTTTTGAGTCCTGGAAATGGGAAGTACAATGCCTGCACTTTAAAGGAGGGGTTTGGGATATTGGCAGTTTGGAGGGATATGTTGTGTATCTTTATATGTACAGTGGACCCCCGGTTAACGAACTTTTTTCATTCCAGTAGTATGTTCAGGTGCCAGTACTGACCGAATTTGTTCCCATAAGGAATATTGTGAAGTAGATTAGTCCATTTCAGACCCCCAAACATACACGTACAAACGCACTTACATAAATACACTTACATAATTGGTCGCATTCGGAGGTAATTGTTATGCGGGGGTCCACTGTATATGCTTCTAAACTGTTGTATTCTGAGCACCTCTGCAAAAACAGTGATAATGTGTGAGTGAGGTGAAAGTGTTGAATGATGATGAAAGTATTTTCTTTTTGGGGATTTTCTTTCTTTTTTGGGTCACCCTGCCTCGGTGGGAGACGGCCGACTTGTTGAAAAAAAAATAAAAAATCTGAAAATACGTTAAAAAACGTAGATCTACTTATGTAGCACTACACATGTGAACGTAGATCTGCTTGGACCGTTTACGGGTTATTATTATTATTATAAAAAGGAAGCGCTAACCTGCAAGGGTCATATAGTGCCTTAATAATCAACTTCAAAGGTGAAAGTTATATAAGTGCTTTAGTAAGTTTATTTAGGTACAGGTACACATAAATACAACTATCGTACACAGTAACATGGTCTAATTATCTAGAATTGCCCTAGAAAGTCAAAGTGACTTACAGTGGAATCTCAAAAATCAACTGCTTGAGTTGGGAGCAGTTCATGTAAGTATATTTTTGTAAGTGCTTTTATAAGTGTATTTTTGAGGGTCTGAAATGGACTAATTTAATTTACATTATTCCTGATGGGAATAAATTCGTTCAGTAGCAGCACACAGCCTTCTGGACCGAAGAAAGTTTGATTTTTGAGGTTCCACTGTATTTCCATTGGGGTCCGTTATGATTGTATAATGTGATATGCGATGTAGAGGCCAGTAGACGCCTTCCAGTATTTCAGGAAGCTTTTTCTTACTTATAAAGGAAGTGTAAATATTGTATGGATCCTTCAAGTGGGGTCTTTGGATGCCAGTGAGGGATTCTTGATCCAAGGAATTAGCTGCTCTTCTCTTCCCTTCCTTGGATCAGTCCTGATTGCCCCTTAATTTCCTAGGTGTTGTATGACTTTTAAGGGTCATAAAACACCCGTGAATGTAATAATAAAAAGTATTGTTTGCTTAGTTAAGATGCATTAGGTTTTAGCTAGACATTATTCATAAGATCGCCTTCATTTGGTAAATATTCACTATCAAAATGACCTTTGGGGAAATGGTGACTACGTTAAGGTGTCAAGAGGAACATCTGACAAGGACAAAACTTTAATGAAAATGTTAATTACGAAATGAGCTTCATTAATTGTTCACATAGATTATTCTCCGTTGACTGAGGATGAAGCAAACTCATCTTGCCCATAGTCAATTGTTTTTAAGTTATCCAGTACCTGTTTTGTGTAACTTGTGTTGTACTCTACTGTTGCTCATGTTTCAACATTGTACCCTTGTTCATAATTACAGTGGACCCTCACCTAACAATGGCATCGCCTAACGTTAAATTCAGCTAACAATACATTTAACGCTAACATTTTGCCTCGGCTAACGCTAAAAAGACTCGCCTAAAGTTATTCAGTCTTGGGTACCAATTAATATCATTAGGCGAGGGTCCACTGTATTATTATTATTATAATAAAAAAAAAAGTGCTAAGCCACAAGGGCTCCTTGTTCATAAGCTTTCATTTTTATGCCGTAATTTTTATACACTAATAATAAATGTGTCTGCCAGGTTATCAGTGAGTTTGTTTAGAAGAAAATTTTAGCTTAATCTTTTTTACTGGATGATGGATTTTTTTTATTTTATCACGAATGTTTGTGTTTATTGTTTGCTTTATTTCAATCTTGTGTGTGTATTTTTTACTGGTACTTGTTTACAATATTCTGTCTGTAACACTTCAAGGGATTACCTTGAAGCTTGTAAATGGAGTTGATTTGAGGAATTTAAGCTACCCTCCCTTACCTCAGATCACACCTAATTTACCCCCTCCCTCATTCTTTATGTTCTGTATGACTCTTATGGGTTTACTACTTTCCAATTAATATATTAATAATTGCTAATACTGGAGACCTGAGAATGTAGTTCTTGATACCTGGTGGATCCTTGTAGATAATATTATTTATTTAACACACTGGCTGTTTCCCGCTAAGGCAGAGTGACCTGAAAAAGAAACACTTTCACCATCACTCGGTCCATCACTGTCTTGCCGGAGGTGTGCTGATACAGCAGTTCAGAAATTGCAACATATCTCCACCCCTCATTATGATGATGATGATCATGAGGAAGAGCTCAACCCATAATGGTCATACAGCACCAGATTTGTGTGACAACCAGTCCACATTTTGTATATATTCTAAGGTGTATAACTCCCTTGGTGTGTATGCACTGAAAGCAGCAGCATATATACACTACAGGCTATATTCAAGCAAACCATACCACGGGCGGGATTTGAACCCGCGGTCAGAGAGTCTCAAAACTCCAGACCGTCACAATCGTGTCTTTACGATTTCGTGAGTTATATTCAAGCACTTTCGTATCTGTGATTCTGCTTGAGAGGCAACTAAGAGAAGTTAGTTATGTGGTTGATATTGGAGCTGATGTATATCCCAGGTACCCCTCACCTATTGTTTGTATCACCAGGAGCTGCAAACCAGAATGAGTAATGTAGTCAAGGAACTAGTTCTCATTCGCCTTCAGAGTCAGAACTTTGTGTCACTCAACAATGACACCCACAATGACTTCTCAAACAGGTAAGAAACTAGTGTTAATTCTGATAGATAAATATTATTTATTTAGCTAGTCTATATTTTCGATATACAGGAGAGAATTATACAAATTTTGGTCATGTAATTATTCAGTAGAATTTGATAAATTAGACACATGCACCAAGACAAATCCAATCCCATTGCTAAATGTACCAATTGTAATATTATTATATGTTTTGTACTACCTCTCAATCATAAATCTAATTATGTATGTACCTAATTATGTATGTCTCTAATTATGTATGTCTAATTATGCATGTCTAATTATGTATCTAATAATGTATGTTATAATGTACTTCTCCATAACCTATATCAGTATAGAGTAAGAATTAGTATTAGTCTGCCCGAAATGCCTTGGCATGCTAGTGGTCTTCTTCGTAATTAATATTTTATAGCATGTAAACCACACATTGTGATTTACAAGGAAATAAACATTTTAATTTTCATATATATGAGAGGAGGAGGATGGGAGCATTGTAAATGAGAGGAGGGAAATAACACCCTTTCCTACACACTTCTGTGTCACCTAGTTAATGTTCCGAGTTGGACCAAAATGTTATTGCAAGTTTTAGTTTCCTATGTGTGAGTTATTTGCTGGAGTCCAACAGCACCTGGGAAAGAGTGAGGTAGCCTCAATTTCCTGAATGATTGTTCAGTCACTATTATCAAGGAACTCCCCTTCAAGGGGAGTGCCTTGATAATGGAACCTTTCATATAGTTCCATGATGGAACTATGTGAAAATGACTTAACATAATGTATCCATTATTATTATTACAATCAAGGGGGAAGCGCTAAACCCGGAGGATTATACAGCGCCTGGGAGGGTATGTGGAAGGCATTCAGGCTTAATTTGGGGAACTGGAGCACAGATCCAATTCCCTAAATCAAGAGCCCCTCACCAACATCAAGGAACCTTCCTTGAGGGGGGTCATAATGTATCCAAAAGCTTGTTGTATAATAAACTGGCCAGTCAATCTTATGTAAAGCAGATAGTATAAAGTGTAATACAGAATGTTTATTTTTTCAGCCTCAACATGACACAGTCAGCAGTAGACACACTCTCAGAGAGTCTAAAGAATCGACTTGATAATGCAACAGTACTGGAACAAGATTTCAGGAAGATCTTTAAGAGGGAAACCAACCACATTAGTGACAGAGTTGAAAACGGCATCAGCCAAGTAAGGAAGTTGATTTATCTCTCTTTTTATACCATTTTCTTTTCCTCTCACCTAAGTATATTTAATCACTGTACTGTCCCCCTGGCAGGCTCTGGTCTCTAATCATGCAACAGTAAGCCAGATAGAGGAGACTGAGTTGGACACTCGAGTGTTTGTGGGTTCGGCGACAGCTGCCTGGAACGAACTCTATCTCAACCAAGAGGCTGAACTGCGTAAGGAAGCTGACTCCCTCAGCCACAGTCTTCGTACCCACACCCACCACACTCAGAATGTGCTGACTGGCATGCGCAGTGCTGCAGAAACTCATGAACTGGTCAGTAGTGTTGTAGGTCACCACTCATGGTACACTACCTGGTTATGCTTCTCTGATGCCCAGAACCAGAGCTGGTGTGACCAACACATTTCATTCTCTTGTTATCTCTGATTCATTGAAGTTTTCCTTGTGAAGTATTTGTTCATTTCACAAATCAGTCAATCAAGTTTATTCTCTATAAGGATTACAATGCGGGGTTTACAGATTTTGGTTATTGTGTGGTTTACATGTAATAAAATACTAATTACAGAGGGGGCCACTAGGACACCTGGCAAGGCATTTCGGGCAAACTTAGATTAATTCTTAACCCTAAATTATTACAAATTATGGAGTAAGTTGACTAAATACTAAGTGACTAAATACTAGTTTGTGAGTTTAGCAATGTGAATGCTTTTGTTTTGGCACAATACATAGTTTCTATATTGGAGTATCACAGGCAAACTTAGTTAGGAAAGAAACTTACGATGACATTTTGGTCCGACTTTGACCATTAACTAGTGTATTGTTCCATTTTGGTAACATATGAATAATATCCTTTTATGACAATGTACACTTAAGTTTTCTTTAATACATTTATTAGTGATTAAGTACTGAAGTGTAGCCTTAATGACTCAGGTGTAGCCTTAATGACTCAGGTGTAGCCTTAATGACTCAGGTGTACCTTAATGACTCGGGTAAGCCTTAATGACTCAGGTGTAGCCTTAATGACTCAGGTGTAGCCTTAATGACTCAGGTGTAGCCTTAATGACTCAGGTGTAGCCTTAATGACTCAGGTGTAGCCTTAATGACTCAAGCATAGCCTTAATGACTCAACATAGCCTTAATGACTCAACGAAGCCTCAATGACTCAGGGGTAGCGCTAATGACTCAAGTGTAAGCCTTAATGACTCAAGCGTACCTTAATGACTAAAGCTACCTTAATGACTCAATGTAGCCTAAGACTCAGGTGAGCCTTAATACTCAGGTGTAGCCTTACATGACCAGGTGACCTTTAATGACTCAGTTTACCTAAAATGACTCGGGTTTTAGCCTTAATGACTCAGGGTACCTTAATGCTCAGGTGTACCTTAATGACTCAGGTGTAGCCCTTAATGACTCTGGTGTAGCCTTTGACCAGGTGTAGCCTTAAATGACCCAAGTTGTAGCCTTAATGACTCAAGTGTAGCCTTAATGACTCAAGTGTAGCCTTAATGACTCAAGCGTAGCCTTAATGACTCAAGCGTAGCCTTAATGACTCAAGTGTAGCCTTAATGACTCAAGTGGCAGTCTTCAAGCTGGCACTGGACAAGCACCTAAAGTCGGTTCCTGACCAGCCGGGCTGTGGCTCATACGTTGGTTTGCGTGCAGCCAGCAGCAACAGCCTGATTGATCAGGCTCTGATCCATCAGGAGGCCTGGTCACAGACCGGGCCACGGGGGCGTTGACCCCCGGAACTCTCTCCAGGTAAACTCCAGTGTAGCCTTAATGACTTAAGTGTAGCCTTAATGACTCAAGTGTAGCCTTAATGACTCAAGTGTAGCCTTAATGACTCAAGTGTACCTTAATTACTCAAGTGTACCTTAATTACTCAAGTGTACCTTTTAATTACCAAGTGTACCTTTAATTACTCAAGTGTACCTTAATTACTCAAGTGTACCTTAATTACTCAAGTGTACCTTAATTACTCAAGTGTACCTTAATTACTCAAGTGTACCTTAATTACTCAAGTGAAACCTTAATTACTCAAGTGTACCTTAATTACTCAAGTGTACCTTAATTACTCAAGTGTACCTTAATTACTCATGTAACCTTAATTACTAAAGTGTACCTTAATTACTAAAGTGTACCTTAATTACTCAAGTGTACCTTAATTACTCAAGTGTACCTTAATTACTCAAGTGTACCTTAATTACTCAAGTGTACCTTAATTACTCAAGTGTACCTTAATTACTCAAGTGTACCTTAATTACTCAAGTGTACCTTAATTACTCAAGTGTACCTTAATTACTCAAGTGTACCTTAAATTACTCAAGGTACCTTAATTTCTCAAGTGTACCTTAATTACTCAAGTGTACCTTAATTACTCAAGTGTACCTTAATTACCCAGTGTACCTTAATTACTCAAGTGTACCTTAATTACTCAAGTGTACCTTAATTACTCAAGTGTACCTTAATTACTCAAGTGTACCTTAATTACTCAAGTGTACCTTAATTACTCAAGTGTAGATGATAGGATTTTAATACAAACAAATAAAAAACAAACGAAATATATTTCTTTGCAAGCTAACATTGATATAATGAACTTTACAATAATAAGTTGCAACACAAAGAGCCGAAGATAAGTGTCTCAATCTTCAACTTGTCGGTTTTTCAAACCATTCATCACAACACAAAGAGCCACTATCATGCCTAGGCATTATGGGCAGACTTAATTTAATGGCTTACAGACTACTTAATACTCAAGAAATTGATCTTAGTTTAAGTTATACATTTTTTTCTTTATTTATAGTAGACGGCAATTTTACTCTAATTACAATAGTTTCAATAATACGTAAATATTGAAATTATGTTATGGGAATATAACACTGAGTTGTTGAGAGTAGTTTACAGTATGTGAATGTTACAACCGGGTGTAAGGCAGTATTGTTTTGGGTAGGTATTTATACTACAATGTAGTATTAACCTGTAAACGTCCAAACGTATATATACGTTCTCTACCGTACTGCCCCAACTTTTTTGAGAAAAAAACATTATTGTTTTTTAATAGGAAAAAAGAGCATATGGTACCCAGGCATCCCCAATTATTTTAATATGGCACACAGTGAGTGCTCACACCCATTCTCACATGTCTAGGCGACTCAGGCTTATCGTGGCAATGTTAAATGTAGGACACATAAAACGTATATATACGTTTGGGGCACTAGCAGTAAAAACGTATACATACATTTGGACCGTTTACGGGTTAATAATGTATGAACTTTGGGCATCTAGATTTGAAGTTTTAAGATTTAGCTAACTGGGAGATTTTTGGTAAAGTTAAATATTAAGTAATGAGTATTTATTTTAGGGTGGGTAGGCGGCTTTTTATCTGTACAAAGAGTTTATTTTAATCCTTATCCATAGGGAATGTAGTACAGCATTTTCAGTTGCTAATGTACAAGTGACTGTAACCTTAACCCTGTAAAGTAAAAGGACACAAGGAATACAATTAAACACTGAAACAAGCTGCCTCTATCCAGTCTATATTTGTCCAACCTATTTTTATGTTACCCAAGTAATAGCTTTTATATCTTTTTACTCATGTACGAATTAATTGCTCTACCATATTGTATTACTTTTGTCACTACTACTACTACTACCACTACTACTACTACTACCACTAGTGAACATCGAAATGTTACCTCACTAGTATTGCACCTCACTCTGAGCCTTTATATACCCTCTGTGTCCATGTATTGTTTGTAATGGCTTGATAAAGCTCCTGGAGAGCGAAACGTTGCCACAATAAATGTCACATTAGTTGCACTTGTGTCCTTTTACTTTACATATTGTCGGTAATTCTACCAACTTTATTACAACTTTAACCCTGTAAAGTTTAATACTAGAAATCGTGTTAGGATTTTTTAATTCTTTTGGCAGATGAATATTTATACATTTGAAAAACTTTTTTTTATCGTTTTTGATATGAGTTATAGTTTGGGAATTCTAATAGATTTTACATGTAGTTTGTTTGGGCTTGAAGTCCATAATAAGGAAATAAAGGTGAGTCTGTATGGGCTCTATGGAATGCTAGGGGGAATAAAATGTTAGTTTATGTAACAAAAATTGCACTCAAACGTGAAAAAATACGATAGTAAAACTAGCGTTTTTATTAATAAACTTGCGTTTGTTATCCATAAGATACATGTAAATTCAGGTTGTAGGTTATTAGACAGCAACCACTTAGGGAGGTACTACCATCTAGACAGCAACCACCGGGGGAGGTACTACCATCTAGACAGCAACCACCGGGGGAGGTACTACCATCTAGACAGCAACCACTGGGGGAGGTACTACCATCTAGACAGCAACCACCGGGGGAGGTACTACCATCTAGACAGCAACCACTTAGGGAGGTACTACCATCTAGACAGCAACCACTTAGGGAGGTACTAAGATCTAGACAGCAACCACTGGGGGAGGTACTACCATCTAGACAGCAACCACTGGGGGAGGTACTACCATCTAGACAGCAACCACCAGGGAGGTACTACCATCTAGACAGCAACCACTTAGGGAGGTACTACCATCTAGACAGCAACCACTTAGGGAGGTACTACCATCTAGACAGCAACCACCTAGGGAGGTACTACCATCTAGACAGCAACCACCAGGGGAGGTACTACCATCTAGACAGCAACCACCGGGGGAGGTACTACCATCTAGACAGCAACCACTTAGGGAGGTACTACCATCTAGACAGCAACCACCAGGGGAGGTACTACCATCTAGACAGCAACACCAGGGAGGTACTACCATCTAGACAGCAACCACCAGGGGAGGTACTACCATCTAGACAGCAACCACTTAGGGAGGTACTACCATCTAGACAGCAACCACTTAGGGAGGTACTACCATCTAGACAGCAACCACCAGGGGAGGTACTACCATCTAGACAGCAACCACTTAGGGAGGTACTGCCATCTAGACAGCAACCACCGGGGGAGGTACTACCATCTAGACAGCAACCACCAGGGGAGGTACTACCATCTAGACAGCAACCACCGGGGGAGGTACTACCATCTAGACAGCAACCACTTAGGGAGGTACTACCATCTAGACAGCAACCACTTAGGGAGGTACTACCATCTAGACAGCAACCACCGGGGGAGGTACTACCATCTAGACAGCAACCACCAGGGGAGGTACTACCATATAGACAGCAACCACCGGGGGAGGTACTACCATCTAGACAGCAACCACTTAGGGAGGTACTACCATCTAGACAGCAACCACTTAGGGAGGTACTACCATCTAGACAGCAACCACTTAGGGAGGTACTACCATCTAGACAGCAACCACTTAGGGAGGTACTACCATCTAGACAGCAACCACCGGGGGAGGTACTACCATCTAGACAGCAACCACTTAGGGAGGTACTACCATCTAGACAGCAACCACCGGGGGAGGTACTACCATCTAGACAGCAACCACTTAGGGAGGTACTACAGTCTAGACAGCAACCACTTTGGGAGGTACTACCATCTAGACAGCAACCACCAGGGGAGGTACTACCATCTAGACAGCAACCACCGGGGGAGGTACTACCATCTAGACAGCAACCACCGGGGGAGGTACTACCATCTAGACAGCAACCACCGGGGGAGGTACTACCATCTAGACAGCAACCACCGGGGGAGGTACTACCATCTAAACAGCAACCACCGGGGGAAGTACTACCATCTAGACAGCAACCACTTAGGGAGGTACTACAGTCTAGACAGCAACCACTTAGGGAGGTACTACCATCTAGACAGCAACCACCAGGGGAGGTACTACCATCTAGACAGCAACCATTTAGGGAGGTACTACCATCTAGACAGCAACCACCGGGGGAGGTACTACCATCTAGACAGCAACCACCAGGGGAGGTACTACCATCTAGACAGCAACCACCTAGGGAGGTACTACCATCTAGACAGCAACCACTTAGGGAGGTACTACCGTCTAGACAGCAACCACTTAGGGAGGTACTACCATCTAGACAGCAACCACCTAGGGAGGTACTACCATCTAGACAGCAACCACTTAGGGAGGTACTACCGTCTAGACAGCAACCACTTAGGGAGGTACTACCATCTAGACAGCAACCACCTAGGGAGGTACTACCATCTAGACAGCAAACACCTAGGTACTACCATCTAGACAGCAACCACCTAGGGAGGTACTACCATCTAGACAGCAACCACCTAGGTACTACCATCTAGACAGCAACCAATTAGGGAGGTACTACCATCTAGACAGCAACCACCGGGGGAGGTACTACCATCTAGACAGCAACCACTTAGGGAGGTACTACCATCTAGACAACACCAACATAGGGAGGTACTACCATCTAGACAACACCAACATAGGGAGGTACTACCATATAGACAGCAACCACCTAGGGAGGTACTACCATCTAGACAGCAACCACTTAGGGAGGTACTACTGTCTAGACAGCAACCACCTAGGGAGGTACTACCATCTAGACAGCAACCATTTAGGGAGGTACTACCGTCCAGACAGCAACCACCTAGGGAGGTACTACCATATAGACAGCAACCACCTAGGGAGGTACTACCATCTAGACAGCAACCACTTAGGGAGGTTACTACTGTCTAACAGCAACCACCTAGGAGGTACTACCATCTAAAACAGCAACCACTTAGGGAGGTACTACCGTCTAGACAGCAACCACTTAGGGAGGTACTACCATCTAGACAGCAACCACCTAGGTACTACCATCTAGACAGCAACCACTTAGGGAGGTACTACCATCTAGACAGCAACCACCTAGGTACTACCATCTAGACAGCAACCACTTAGGGAGGTACTACCATCTAGACAGCACCCACCTAGGGAGGTACTACCGTCTAGAGTCTAGACAATCATCCACCTAGGGAGGTACTACCATATAGACAGCAACCACCTAGGGAGGTACTACCATCTAGACAACAACCACCTAGGGAGATACTACCATCTAGACAGCAACCACCTAGGGGGGTACTACCGTCTAACAGGAACCAAACCCAGGGAGGTACTACCCGCTAGGACAGCAACCACCTAGGGAGGTACCTACCGTCTAGACACATTTCATCCACCTGAGGGAGTAAATACCATAAGAAAGCAACCACCTAGGAGGTACTACCATCTAGACAACAACCACCTAGGGAGGTACTACCATCTAGACAGCAACCACCTAGGGAGGTACTACCGTCTAGACAGCAACCACCTAGGGAGGTACTACCATCTAGACAGGAACCACCTAGGGAGGTACTACCGCCTAGACAGGAACCACCTAGGGAGGTACTACCGCCTAGACAGGAACCACCTAGGGAGGTACTACCAGTCCTGCCTAGTGAGTTGTAAAAGTGGAAACCTGTGATTGTTTTACATGATGGTAGGATTGCTGGTGTCTTTTTTCTGTCTCATAAACATGCAAGATTTCAGGTAAGTCTTGCTACTTCTACTTACACTTAGGTCACACTACACATACATGTACAAACATATATATACACACCCATCTGGGTTTTCTTCTATTTTCTTAATAGTTCTTGTTCTTTATGTCCTCTTATCTCCATGGGAAGTGGAAAAAGAATTCTCCGTAACCATCGTGTTATAATGGTAACAAATGCCAGGAGCAAGGGGCTAGTAACCCCTTAGTTAAAAACAAAATGTAAATTTAGTACTAAAAAACGTTATTTAAAAAACAAGTTATGTATCCCAATATACTGCACAGAATGTAGCTAACATGGACATACAATAAAAAATTATGTTTCTGTAACTAAAAATGTTATCCATGGAGGCAAAGAAGGGGAAAGCATGGAGTATAGTTAGACTAAAAACACTTATATGGTGTGAAGCTTGGGTTGTGAATGTTGCAGCGAGGAGTGCTGGAGGGAGGAATATTCTGTCTAAGGGCAATGTGTGGTGTAAATATTATACAGAGAATATGTAGTGTGGAAATTAGGAGGAGGAGGTGTGGAGTTAATAAAAGTATTAGTCAGAGAATTGAAGAGGGGTTGTTGAGGTGGTTTGGTTATTAGAAGAAAATGAAACAAAAAAGAATGACTTGGGGAGATATAAATCTGAGGGGAAGGAAGACGGGGTAAGGATCATCCTCATCCTAAGTCACTGACTTTTTTTGGGTTATCATAGGTTCTCTACACATATGCTGCTATGTATGATAATCATGTAACAGTATATTTGGTATACCTGAATAAACATACTTACCCTTTAAGAGTTGGAGGAAGGTAAAGGAAGTTTTGCGGGCGAGGGCTTGACTTACAGCAGTATGCGTGAGCAGTTAGGAAGGAGATAAATGTTTTGGGGACCCTGATGACTGTTGCAGTGGCGAGTAGGGGTAATATTTGTAAAAGGGATTTTAGGAAAACCATTAGCCAGACTTGAGTCCTGGAAATGGGAAGTACAATGCCTGCACTTTAAAGAAGGGGTTTGGGATATGGCATTTGGAGGACATCTAAAACTGTCCCACTGAGTGAGTGCACCTGCATAGACTGATTATGTAGGAGTGATGATGAAAGTGTTGAATGATGATGAAAGTTTTTTCTTTCTTTTCGGGTCACCTTGCCTTGGTGGAAAACGGCTGATGTGTTAAAAAATATGTTTTTTTTTTATTAACATACTGGCCGATTCCCACCAAGGCAGGGTGCCCCGAAAAAAGAAAAACTTTCACCATCATTCACTCCATCACAGTCTTGCCAGAAGGGTGCTTTACACTACAGTTTTTAAACTCCAACATTAACATGTACATGTATATAAAATATAAGTCTTACATATTTTGAACAGTTTATAAAATTGCTTGAGTTTTCTCTTGGCAATATGGGACGAAGCAGTTGCTGGTGTCGGATAGGCAAAGAGCTATCTGGTAGGCACTGCATAGCGTAGAATGATACATGACTTCACTTGAGAAGCAGAATTTACAGGTTTGCCTGTCCTTGTTGGAGAATGGAGAGTGAACTGTTGAGTTTGATGGAGGCTGGTAAACCTGTTGCCCTTTCCTAGGTTTTGGTGAGACAATAGAATGAGGAGTTTCCTCAGAGTCTGGATGGCATGAGTGGCTTCTGTGATCTTGGTCATTTTGATATGTCTAATCTGAAGTCTGAGTGACAAGTGATCAACCTAGAGGGATTGACAATCCCTTTTTTGTTCAAGCTATGAGCTACAAACATGATAGGAAAAAAAAAATCTGGCCTCTGCTGGAGTTTTTGTAGAGACAGATGAACATGTTTTGTTAATGTCTCCCATGTTGTAGTTTTAAGTTCTGATGACATTGGGGCAGGAGATCTCTAGTTTCTTCTTGGCAGGGTTATCATACCAAAGATCATAGGAGATGTGTTCACTCTCAGCCAAGGAGTTCACCAGCAACACCTGTCATGGTGTGACCTTAAGCTTTGGTCACCTTCATTGATGTTGTTAGGTAAAAGGGCACTTGTAACTAATGCAACATTTTATTGTGACAACGTTTTGCTCTCCAGAAGCTTTGCCAAGCCGTAATGGCTGGAAAATAAAACGTTGCCACAATACACAACAGTGTTGCATTAGTTGCACGTGTCCTTTTACCTAACATATTGTAGGTAATTCTACCAACATTATTCATTGATCTTGCTTATCCTGAGACACTGCCTCATTCTACAGGTGCTAGAGGAACAGCGGATGAATTTCCAACGTTTTATTCACAAGAGACAAGATGCTCTGGACAACCAATGCTCCGCCATTACTGACTGGGCCATGCTTATGTCCACCGAGCTGCGCAGGAGAGACGAGGACCTTCACAGGTTTCTCAGCGAAGATCTCCAGTACACCACAGGTACTCTACACACAACACAACTTATTAATAATATCTTGATTTTTATGACGAGTTCTCAAGTACAATATCTCGCCCGGCTGCTTTAATTAACGCTATATTGATACGTAAGAGTTTAGCACAACTTTGTGAATATCACCTTGCTATTTAATCTAAGAGCTTAACAGTCTTGTAAACAAGGTATTTTAATATATCTTTCAGTATATTGTTAACCCGTAAACGGTCCAAACGTATATGTACGTTTTTTCAACATTTGAAAGTATGTAAAAAAAGCAGATCTTCTTTTTGTTTTTTTTACATTTGAAAACGTGTAAAAAAACTTTGATCTACTTTTTTTTTTGTTATATTTGAAAATATGTAAAAAAAACGTAGATCTGCTTGGACCGTTTACAGGTTTAATAAGAGAGATTATGCCTTTACATACATACAGTAAACACTATAACCAAAAAAAAGGCACAATACCATGACTGGAACAATACACAAATAACCTGCACATAAAAGAGAGGAGCTTATGATAACGTTTCGGTCCGACTTGGACCGAAACGTCGTCGTAAGGTTATTTGTGTAACCCGTCGTCGCGAGTTATTTGTGCAACACTCTATATAACAGACTTAAAATTATGAGCAAAATCCACTGGTTAAATTTGATTTTGAACTTGTTTATTTTCAATGTTTGTTACTGTATATCCATCATTTGTATCCAGTAGTATATTAGGTATCCTAGTGTTTCTTTGTTTTTCTACTTTTTTCCAAATTATTCTGATTTAACGAACATTCAGACAATCCCCCATTAGTCTGTCATATTGAGTCTTTACTGTTAATATTGCATAGTCTCTTATTCATCATTTAATTGCAGTTTTTCCATGAATGTTGTGACATCACAGTTCACATGACCCTCTGACTGCAACATCCCAGCCTTCCTTCCTCACTTATCTCCTCTTATTGAATTCATACAAAGATTACAATAGCACTTTCTTTTCAGATAGTCAGAGGGTTGCAGAAAAGCTTATATGCTAATATTTGCAGCAAATGTTTTTCTGTCCACAGGAAATTATATTAATATTTTCTTCAAATAGGGGTCAATCTGTTTCGTGATTTGTTTCTTGTATTTGTGACTGAAATGCTGCATCTCATTTCCTTTCATGCTAATATCCACAGGAGGTAAATTTGGGTTAATGATGAGCACTAACGGGGCTCTACATATGTCATCAAAAAGTCCATATGGGAATTCTAAGCAGTTTTTCTAAAAGCACATGAATAGCAGAGACCAAACCCAAAGTAGGTCAGTGATGGCCTAGTGAGAAAAACATTGTCTATATATAGTGATACCTTTATTATCAAGTGTCATTTAAACCTGGACTTTAAATATATTGTTTTTCTCTCGAACCCTCAATAATCCCCTGAGTTGCTACACCAACACACCAGTGTGTAGAAGACACACACACGTCACACAACTTTTTCTTTCTTGGGATGGTTTTTTTGCCATAAGTAGAGACTTTTTAAGTCATGACTTGAAAATACTCTAATGGTAGCTAGAGCGAACTTTGTCACATTAAAGACTTGTCCTCGTGCTCACGTTTTTGTCTTCATTCCTGACAGTGTACTCTTCCACGCTTTTATATATTGGAATTTCAACAAACCGGCCTTCTCCCACCAAGGTAGGGTGATCCAAAAAGAAAAAACATTGTTTGGGTCACACTACCTTGGTAGGAGACAGCTGGTTTGAAAAAAAAAAATGATAAAACCCCTAAACTTTCAATTAAGAAGTGAGGCTTAGTCCTTGTTGCGAATAAGAAATTTTTTAAAGAACTTCATAATGTGGCCTGTTACCATTTATTTCTTATGCAACAAGATTTTTGGATCCGAATTCTTTAAAGGTCTTTTAGAGTCTAGGGGAAATAATTTCAACTGGGAAACTCCATAGAATAATATTCGAATTTATTAAAGTATTTAAATACAATACTTTATCTTCTCTTTGTAGTTAATTTAACTTAATACTTTGTACAATAAAATTACCATATACATTTACCTGGAGTTTACCTGGAGAGAGTTTCGGGGGTCAACGCCCCCGCGGCCCGGTCTGTGACCAGGCCTCCTGGTGGATCAGCGCCTGATCAACCAGGCTGTTGCTGCTGGCTGCACGCAAACCAACGTACGAGCCACAGCCCGGCTGATCAGGAACTGACTTTAGGTGCTTGTCCAGTGCCAGCTTGAAGACTGCCAGGGGTCTGTTGGTAATCCCCCTTATGTGTGCTGGGAGGCAGTTGAACAGTCTCGGTCCCCTGACACTTATTGTATGGTCTCTTAACGTGCTAGTGACACCCCTGCTTTTCATTGGGGGGATGGTGCATCGTCTGCCAAGTCTTTTGCTTTCGTAGTGAGTGATTTTCGTGTGCAAGTTCGGTACTAGTCCCTCTAGTTCCAAACCATGGAAATGTCATATTAATAAGGAAGTTTAATTATTCTTCCTGTATCTAAGTCCTCATTAATATTTACGTCTCTTTCTTAACAAGACTGTAGACTCAAAATACAAAAGGTACAAGATTTAACAAGACCTTTGAATTTGGCCGTAAAGTATCTATGGATTACTGAACTGACCAAGAATATAAATATCAAAAGAGTCTTTCAAAGTAATGAGGAACAAAGTGAGTCAACTCTAGAGTCCAATTCTCAAAACCATTCAACTGTACACCGTAAGAGCCAATATACAATCAGTTGTCAGGGCTAGAGCTGGGAGCAGACTGACTACTTGCCAGTCTGTTGACGCGTCGTCAGGTTGGATCAGCTGAGCCACGTCAGCCAGCTGTCGTCAGGTTGGATCAGCTGAGCCACGTCAGCCAGCCGGACATAAACAATTGAACAATTCACCGGATGGTTCCGAGACTTAAACTCTATATACACAAGAAATCCTACCTAACCATAGTAGTAAAATAATAGTGATAATTACAAAATAGTGATAATAACAATAATAGCAATAATAACGATAATAGCGATAATAACAATAATAGTGATAATAACGATAATAGTGATAATAACAATAATAGTGATAATAACGATAATAGTGATAATACCATGGTATTTTTCATATATTAACAGATAATAATATAACACCGAAAGTCTCTGTTTTAGCTATAAACGGGGACTTTCGCGCTATAATATTAAGTGATGAACATATGCTCTTACAATATTTAAATAACACAGGATGACCAATTTCAAAGATATAACAGTCCTGCTATGTAGTTTAGGGTATCTTCTCTGCCACATTTTTAAAATAATAGCACAATGTGTGTTGCCTTCCATTTGTTTGCTGATTTTGCCTCTTGTAGTGAAAACCCAGCAGTAACAGCCTGGTTGATAAGGCCAGGGCCACCTTAAGGCCTGGTCATGGACCGGGCCACAGGGACATTGATCCTCGGAACACCCTAAAGGTATACTCAAGGATAACTTAATTCACAATACACAAATAACCCGCACATAAGAGAAACTTACGACGACGTTTTGGTCCAACTTGGACCATTTACAAAGTCACACTAACCAGAAGTGGAGCAGGACGGCTATATATAGGCAGGAAGAGGTGGTGGTAGTAGTAGTAGTAGTGCAAGAATGGTATATAATACTGACAAGATGAAATTAAGACACATGCGCAACACCCGGGCATCCCTATCATAGACGTTTTGCCATCCAGCCAGCCACTGGATGGCGCCTTTTTTTGTTATTTATAACTTAATTCATTTGCACTTATCCTTAGAACCAATGATGCCATCCTGTCTGGTCCTGTTGCTTTTGTCTTGTCATTATTCAGTGGTACCATAAGTCTTTTAACCTCAAGGACCCCAATGGAGCTAAGTCACTTTGTCTGACTTTTTGGGTTATCCTAGATAATCTACACATAGGCTACTCTTTGCAATACTTTATGTAACTGTATGTGTACTTGTACCCGAATAAACTTACTCCTCTCAGACACTTCAGTTGACTGCTGTTTGTATATGTAATATATTAATGAATTCTGTCAGTGTGGCCTTAGTATCAAAGTGACGTGTTTGTATAGATACAGTCTGATGTCTGTGGGTGCCAGCAATGAAAGTCGGTACCTGACCAGCCGGGCTGTGGCTCGTACATTGGATTGCGTGCAGCCAGCAGTAACAGCCTGGTTGATCAGGCTCTGATCCACCATGAGGCCTGGTCACAGACCAGGCCGTGGGGGCATTGACCCCCCGGAACTCTCTCCAGGTAAACTCCAGGTATCTGTGTTAATGGAGCTCAGCTAAAGATGATGCCTGGTGAGATGTGTATGACACTAGTCTTGCACTATGTTCTCAGACTACAGTGCAGCTCAGGTGTGTAAGACAGTGTGCTGATATTCAGTAAAATAAAGACACGTAGACAGAACAAGACTTCAGTGAGAGCTTTATCAAGGTACCTGTAATGTGGCAAGGCTTTCAATAAGTGAAAAGTTGTTTTTAATAAAAGCTTAAGCTGTGCATGAGTCTTTAAGCTTCAGCTTATGATACCTATTAATTATACTGTATTATTATTATAATCAAGGGGGAAGCGCTAAACCCGGAGGATTATACAGCGCCTGCGGGGGGGGGGGATGTTGAAGGCATTCAGGCTTAATTCGGGGAACTGGAGCACAGATCCAATTTCTTAAATCAAGAGCCCCTCACCAACATCAAGGAACCTTCCTTGAGGGGAATTTTACTGTAGGTTCAGTACTGTACATGTCTGTTGCCGTTACTGTGGCACATCTGTGGGTGCCAGTATACCCAAGTGTGGTACAGTGGACCCCCGCATAACGATTACCTCCGAATGCGACCAATTATGTAAGTGTATTTATGTAAGTGCGTTTGTACGTGTATGTTTGGGGGTCTGAAATGGACTAATCTACTTCACAATATTCCTTATGGGAATAAATTCGGTCAGTACTGGCTCCTGAACATACTTATGGAGTGAAAAAATATCGTTAACCGGGGGTCCACTGTATTTCAGTTGATATCAGAGTAG